AAGTAGTTTCCAACGACTGGACATTTGAAATGAAGGCATAGATTCCGCTGCATGTTCGCGCATGCAAAACGAACACTCTCGCTTTATTATTTTATACATGCTGAACGCTTTTGAAATTGATTACATTTCTGGAAGTCCGTTGTCGGTCGGTAGTGGCAGAGTTGCTTTGGTCCGAGTTGCATTCACCGTGAGACCGCTTGCGTGCTCCTACTGGCACGCCTGTATAAGAGCTCGGCCTAAGCGCACATGCCGTGAGGAGCCTTATGTAGCTTGGCTAGATTAGTGGGTCAAGCCTAAAGAAGCTCTACGGCCTCGTATGCTCATTGAGGTCGCGCTTGGCTTCCTCGCTCCAGCCAGGGATTAGGGTAACCAGGTTGCTTGCTTTCCCTTAGGCGAGTTCATAAACTGATGAAGAAATATCTGCCATGCTGGGTAGAGCATATGCATAGTGTACTACTTCTTGCGTTGTCTGCGGTTGTGCATGAGTATCTCACATTGCTTGGAATCTGATATTTGGGCAGAAAGGAAAAGAAACAACGATGACAACCTGCTCTATATGATCTAGCGCTTGACACTTGGGGCGCTACGCTTGCAGTCGCTCGCCGATAGTCCTGGGATAATCAGCTACGTAGGTTCCGGCACTGGCTGCTGCGAAGCTTTCACAAGTGTCTCATGATCGCTTGTTTTCCCGTTTCTCCTTTTCAGCAGTTCCGATGGTTTCGCTTTCAAACTTGGCAGCTCAGCACTCGCGCTATCTCGAATGCTTGGTTGACCCAGCAGAGCTTTGTGTCTAGATTGAATGTGCGGAAGAATATCCTACACTAATTTATACTAATTTATAAGTGAACGTTGCAGTTCTACTCCAGCATTGCGAAGAGCACGGCGCTACTAAAGCAGCATTGTGACAAGGCGGCTTCGTTCGAGGGAGCTGATACGTGGTCTAGCCTCCAAGGGATCTGGAGAGACAACGACTCTCCCGTGTGAGGTGGAAGAGTTGACCGACTCTCC